GGTGTTCTGGCACTGCACGCTGCTGCTGTTGAAGCGCACAGCAGGCACACGCTGCTGCCGCCCCTGGACCCGGACCACGCACTCGTAGTTCTTCTGGCCTGACTGCGGCTGCGGCAGGTTCTTGGCCCGCAGGGTAAGGGGTTGCATGACACCCACTGGGATCAGGAGGTCCCCGCTGGGCAGGATCTCAGGGCAGCCCTTGGGGAGGATGGAGAACGCCCATCAGCCACACACCAACTGCTGCCATCCTGGCCCAGCAGGGCGCCAGCCCCGCATTGAGGAGGCTCCAAGGAACCGAGAATCAAAGGCAGAGAAGCCAGAGGCCAGCCCACACGGAGCCCAGCCCCCTCGCGCGCGGCACCCGCCTCACCTCGGGGCTGTGGACCCTGCCCTCCTGGAAGGAGCACTCGTGGGGGTGGCTGGTACACACGTGGCGGTACTTACACCAGTGGCAGGGGTAAGGGCTGCCAACGCAGGACATGCACCTGGTGGGGGTGGGGAAGGCTTCAGAAACAGAGAAGGCCAGGCTGCCCCCTCGCCACCCCTCCTAGGGGACATAGGGGGAACCGAAGGAAGAAGGCACCAGGGCACATCTGAGGCCTGCACAACGCAGCAAGGGATGAAGTGACGTGGGGGCAGAGGTCAGCAAGGCCAGTACTCACGACTGATGGAAGCTGCAGTTGTAAAAGACAAAGTCGGTCCCGGCGAACCGCACACCTGTCTCCTTGGAGAGCAGCTGCAGCCGCACAGTGCGCGTGGCCCCTGCAGCAAGCCCAAGGATGGCCGTGAGCCAGCTGGGGACAGACAGTGCCCCGTCCCGAGCAGCCCAGCCACTGACCATGTCCCCTGGTGAGAGCCCGGAGCTCCTGGAGAGAGGGCGAGGGGCAGCGCAACTCCCCGGAGGGCAGCAGGACGGCCTCGTTCTCCGCCACCTCCTCGAAGGCACAGCTCACGCCTGCGCTGAGGTCTGGCACATTACGTATGGCCACAGTCAGCTGCGGAAGGCAGGGGACTCAGCAGGGTGCACCCCTCAACACGCACCTGCATTGGCCCCCACGCCCCACCCCACTCACTCGCCACTCCACTTACCTGCACCCCGGGCGATGTCACTGACACGTTGTTGGGCCGGACCCGCACCTGGACACACTTGCTCAGCTCTTCCGCAAAGCCATACGGGGCTGAGGCGCCCGGACAGGCCCCTTCTCGACAGCATCTGTGTGGGGTCAGCCACAGCCCATCCCGCATCTGCCCTGGGAGGGCTCTGTCCAAGGCTCACTGGGAGCCTGGGGGAAAAGGGGACAGCTGGCCCCAGCCCACAGCGCCTTGGCCCATGGGGTCCTAGTGACGTCACTTGGGGCGGAGATTCTGCTCATTAGCTGGAGAAAGTGGAAGGGGAGGGAGGGGGAGGCCACAAGGGCCTGGCTGGGAGATGTGAACATGTGGGCAAGGGCAGGTACCACCCTCCCCAACCAACATGCCTGGTGGCTTCTCCCAGGAACAGAGCCTCCCTGAGCCATCGTCACCACCCAGCCCCACGCCGCCTCCCTCACCTGTGCTGCAGCACACACCAGCCACAGTGCGGGTCCCTGGAGCCCAGGCAGGCCGCGCAGCTCGAGTACTGCTCACACGTCTCCACTGGGAGCTGGCTCACCTGGGGACACCT